CCCTCTACCACCTCTGCTCCAACCTCCCTCTGGTGGCCATCATTGGCCGCTAGAGCTCTTCGGTCGGCTGTATTGATTGAGTTTGCTGGTTGAACCATTTTTATCACGTTTTTTTTTAAATCGGGATGACTTAAATCGTCCCTCCCTACAGACGGCGCCAAATGTTTATGCAAAGATCTGCACAACAGTATTTTACGAACTTAGCTCGAACCCGGTCTCTGGTTCGACCTGAACACAAGAGTGGACCTGCACAAGAGAGTAAACACTCCGACTCTCAAGTCAGTATAGGTCGGATTCCCTATTTAGTTCGAGGTGAGATTCGATACCTGAGCGTGAAATGAAGCCCTCTATTTATAGGTGGTGGATCCGACAGTACACACGACCGACGGTTACTTGTCTTTTCTTACATCGGACTTGTCGGGTTTCACGGTAGGTCGGACCCTGAGCAGGTCGTACCTCGGCTTTTACACTTAACCTTTTCAATGGTTGTGACCGGTCTTCTCGACGGTTCGAGGTGGACCTGGTCCTCCAATTTTATTTTAAGCGCTAATGGCTGTCGTCCACGTGTCCAGGGTATTTTTACACCCAAACACGCTTTTCTCCTTATATGCCCTAGCCCTTATTTTTCATCAATTGAGTGAGTGGAGGCCTCAAATTGCGTCTATATGTGGTCTACCTAGCCACTTGAAAATTTTTCTTTCCCAAATCTCATTTGATGTAAGAGGAGAAATAATATTTTAACCTAATTATCCCTCAAATCTTCTTCCTCCCTTCAAACACTATTTCGAATGTGACTAAAGAACTTCTATTTTACACTTCATGACTACGCACAATTTCATTTTCATTGAGATTAATAGGGAAGCCGAAGGAAAATGTGTTTTTTTTCTTAAAAAAAACAATTTTAAAGATTAATGATTAAAATGAAATTAATTTTAAACGATAGGCCAATTATTATTTTTTTCTATTCATCATGTAACCTCTATTTTTTAACTCACCATGTTGTCTCTCCATCAATGACATTTTCAAAACAATTTTAAAGATTAGAGATATTTTCAAACTTTTAAAATGATGGGGATATAAGCTCCAAACTTTTAAGATATTTATTTTATAATTTAACCTTATAGTTATTTCGTTGAACATTAAATTTGAATAATTACTCCCTCAAATTTATCACTACAAGTACTCTATTAGTTGTAAAAAAATGTAACAAATCACACCATTAAACTACAAAAATCGTACAATTAAACTCAAAACTCTAAATAAGACCTGAATTACGAGAGTTTTCGTAATTATTTTTCCCTCGTAGTTGTGACATTGGTGCAATTAGACCCAACCACTAACATAACTATTACAACAATTTCATCACTTTAGGATAGCTTAGGTCCTTAGCTAACTTTTGTAACTTTTTTTTTTCTTTTTTTTCCCCTTCCCTATATAATAAATAATGATGGAGAAATTAAGGGAAGAGAAAAAAATGAAGAGAAATGGAAAAATAAGATCCAAAAATCTTCAATCCAAAAGAACCCAATAAAACTCAGCCAACTCAGCACCAAAAATCCTCGTTCCCCTCCATCTCATCCTCACAATCTATATATCTCTTACAGACCACCTCTGGTCCAACTATTCCCACAATTCTCCTCTGCAAAATCTCCCAGAAAGTAGCCATGGCCACCGCCGTCTCTTCCGCCGTGTTCGCCTCCCCAGCGCTCTCCGCGCGCGCCCCCTCCAACATGAAATCCTTCCAAGGCCTCCGCCCGCTCCCGGCTGTGAAATCGAGCGGCCGCCTCACAGCCGCCGTGAAGAGCCGGAGATCCACCGCGGTGAGGGCGGAGCTGAACCCGTCTCTGGTGATAAGCCTGAGCACAGGGATGTCCCTGTTTCTGGGGAGGTTCGTATTCTTCAACTTCCAGAGGGAGAACGTCAGCAAACAGGGACTGCCCGAGCAGAACGGGCAGTGCCATTTCGAGGCAGGGGATGTAAGGGCCAAGGAGTACGTCAGCCTCCTCAAATCTAACGACCCAGTTGGGTTCAATATCGTGGACGTTCTGGCCTGGGGATCCATTGGTCACATCGTGGCTTACTACATCTTGGCCACGTCAAGCAATGGCTACGATCCCAAGTTCTTCTAGTTTAGCAGTTTCATTTCTTATGTGTTTGTGCTCTGCTTGTTTGTTTGTATAGCTAAATCACTGCTTTCTGGTGGAGATTTGATTGGGAAAAGTAACATTATTATTATTGTTGTTAATTACATGCCTCTTTTAAATCTCAACTTCTATGCAATTTCGAGTATTCTCAATTAATTTGTAATTTTTCTCCAAGTAGATAGGCGTGTAACTGTTCAAGGGTTGGATTTGGGAGGGTTAGAGGAATTTTGGGGCCAATTAAAAATTCGGATTGACCAGCTCATGTACCCCCAATCGAATCAAAATTAGTGTCAAACCCAACTCAACCCAACACTATATTTTATGTGTTGGGTTGGTTCATAGAGTTGCCATTTTTTGTTCTCCCTTCACTGAGAACTAGGTTGGGCAGGGGAACGGACTGGTAGGGCGGCAGAGGACAGCAACTACCTGGCGGCTTACAGCAGTGAACGGTCATGAATAGCTATAAACAGTGACAAAAGGGTAGATAGTAAGAGGTCAAATTGTAGGAAAAGTGATAATTGTCGGATTGTGAGAGAGACGAGTTGAGACAGAGGGAGGAGGGAGTTGGTAGATGGAGGGTTAGGGGGGGGGGGAACCCTAACTTGTAATTATATATATATAATTTTTTTTTAATTTTAAGAATGATTGGGTTCGGGTTGAACTGACCACCTCGTTTAGCTCATATGAAACTCACATTACGGATATAGCATCTTGTTTGAATACTAGTTAATATCACGTGCAAATGCACGTGATTTTAAATATTTAAATATAATACTCCAACAATTTAACATATAAAATAACAATTCAACATAATTTTTAAATGTTATTAATATTTAAAAATCCTTAGAACAAGAAATTTAGCTACTTCATGTTCATCATAATGGAACGAAATCTAAATGACAAGTTCATAATCAAAATAGAACAAATAAGGGAAAGGAAAGAAACTAAATCCATCGTCTTGATTGATCGTCCCCGACTCAATCTCACGATCTCGAGCTTCTATAGTCTCCTCGCCCTCTAAGATAAAACTCTTGTCCTTAACGTTGCTCCAAATCTCTAAAACTCTAAAAAAGTAGTCAAAAAGTCCTCCTGGTGATGGGTAACTTGTGCATTTATACTATTGCGGCATTGTTGAGATGCTCCAGGTAGCATCGCAACGATGTATCCTAAATAAGCGAGGAATTTCAGTCGGAGTGTTGAGAGGATCCGAGTAGAGTTGAGCCACTTCGAATTTGATTGCGTGTAGAACCTCTGTGTACGGAGCGTTGAAACGCTCCAGGGAAGCATTGAAATGCTACCCTCTTGGATGTTGGCTTGATCTTGATGGCGTTGAGATGCTCGCTGTTCCCTCAGGTTCTTAGCTCCAAACTAGCACTTAAAATGTATTATTTTCTTCCCCGAGCTATGATTTTTCTCTTACTTTGATCCAATTGCATCCCGTTCTCTCTCAATTACTCATCCCTGCAAAGTATGACTTATGAAGGTAAATTTGTCATGAGCATATGAAAATTTACAATTAGTTCCAATAAAAACCATATGAAACGTGGCTGACATGGTGCAATATCAGAGGAATGGGTTCAACTCATTCAAGCATGCTTCAGAGTGTTAAATGTGTAACAACCGAAGAATAAAAGATTATATAAATATTTTTATTTGTTATTTTATTTTCTTAAAGATGAACCTTTTTGTTTTAAAAATTACTTTTATTTTAATAAAAATAGAAGATAAATTGTTAAAGTTACATCTTTATCCCTATCTTTTTGGGTTATCTTTTCACAAAAGATTTTAAGGGATTTGCTTTAAAAACCCCTAAACCCCAGTAATTTTATTAGACGGTTAGACCTAATTTTCTCTCAAGAGTAATAAGAGAAAAAAGAAAACAAGAAGGAAAATTTTTTATACTTTTCCTCTAAAAAACAGTAAGTTTTCTTTTTATTATTTTTATTTTCTTTTTCTTGATCTTTAATTCTTCAATTAAGTTTTTGGGAAAAAATTTAAGATATTTGTTTTGTTTTTGTTAGAAGAAAAGATTTTAAAGACTTTTTGCCTAAAATTTTTTCAGAATTTTTAGTTTGAATCTTTTTGTTTATGAAACTGTTTTTGGGCTATATTAAAAGACTCTTTTTGCATAAAAAATGTACCCATTTKTATTCTCTAAAGTATAGCTTATTGTTAAGATTTTTACATGAACAATTGAATGTTTTTACTAAGTTTTAAAGATACACTTTTCAGATATGATTTTTCCATAAAAATCAGTAAATTGTTAATTGTTTTGTGAAAAATTCTTGGAAGTTTTATTTTATAAAAACAGAAAATTTTCCAGATTTAAAATCCCCAAATTTTGAATGGTTTAGAAGATTTTTAAGCTTCTTTTGTTGAGAAACTTCTTGTAAATTTAGTCTGTATTGATTTATACCGATTCTTGTAATTTTAAAGTTTGTTATTTTTGAATTTTGAGGCTTTTTAACCAAATTTTCAGATATGGTTTTGTAGCCCTAAATCCATATTTTCCTAATTGTTTTACATGAAAAAGTGTTTTGAATGAAAAAATTGGGTAGATAAGTTTTGCTTAATAATTGGTTGAATTTTAAATCCTTACATAGATTTAAGGATAGATTTTGAATATTGGTTGTTCTAAACGTCTAAGAAATTTGACAACTATTACAAGAAGTTAGTTAAATTTGTAAGATCTCCAAGAGAGGTAAGTGATTTCCCTTCGAAGAGTGTTGTAAGTAATTTCTCATATCCTTCCAAAACTAAAAATTTATTTTGGGTTTGATATGAAATTTTGAAATTGATATYTTGATATGAAATTGAAGTTTTATTATGGATTTTAAAAATATTTGGGCAATTGATATTATGTTTATTTGCAAAATATTTGAAGTATTCTTATATGATTTGATAAAGTTTTGTTTAGATTTATTTAAAGGTTTGAAATTGATATTTTGTTTATTTGTGAAATATTTGAAATTATGTTTTGGATGATTGATAAAGTTTGTTTGAAATTAGTTAAATATTTTGAATTGATTTAATATTTAAAGTAAGTATTTGTTTTGCATTGTATTTGAAAGATATTTCGATTGATTTGATAGGGCTATCCGAATATGTTTTGTTTTGCGGAATGTTTTGCAGATTTGGGGTAGTAGCCTAATTTGAAATTGATGGATTTTGTTATGGCTTATTTGTAGGAAGATATTCTTTGGAATGAAAGATTCGTGTGTGTTATTCATTCACGTGACCTCACACTTAAGTAATAATTTTGACTGTTCTGGTCGATATTAATTCGACAATTCTGTTCTAGTCGATAATATTTCGACAACTCTGTTCTGGTCGATATTATTTCGAGAACTCTGATAGAAGCTTCTGATTGATTGATTAGTGTTACYGACGGGTAACCACATATGTTCCGTAGGCTACCCAAATAATGCATCTTTTCACCATGATATGAAAGTTTTGATTGAACGAAAGTTTGTTTTGAAGGATTTGAAGTTTGATCTAATGAAAGTTTGTTTTGAATGAATGAAAGATTGTCTTGAATAATTGAAATTTTGTTTTGAAGGAATGAAAATTTGTTTTGATTGACTGAAAATTTTGTCATATTTGAAGATTTTGTTTCCGTAAGACTAGTTTGTTTGAAAGCTTTGAAAGTTTTACTAAATAATTTATAAGGACTTTTATAAGTTTTGATCTTTTTGTATTTTTATTTACGTGTTTTGAAAGGAAAATGGATTTCAATATTTGATATGGAAATTGCTTGCTGAGTATTTTTGTACTCATTCTTTGTTTTCTAAATGTTTTCAGATGAAGGTTCGAGTGACTGCTCAGATAGTGATTGAGGAATAGCATTCTGGCATGAGGAGTTGGAATCTTTAAGTATTTTTCCATTTTTTTTAGATTACGAGAACTTAGTATGGTTTCTGTAGTTGTTCTTTGATTCGRTTTTAAGATAGGTTTTCGTTTTAAGTTTTGACTGGTCTTTATCTTTAATATTAGATTTGAAGTTTAATAAAGAAGTTTTTTCCTTTGTTACAGTATTTAATTATTTACACTCCCACATTATTGTTAGAATGGCCGTATTAGAAAGTACGGGTTGTTACAAAATGTCTACAAACAATAAGAAAAGTCAAATGTTTTATAACTTAAAGAGAAAGCAAAGAGGTTTAGAAAAATATTAGAAAAATCTTTTGTAAATCTATTTTGTACTTTTTCTCAAAGTAGATACCATTATCATTTTCGGCATGTAACTCACATTATATTGCCTTTGGTTGTTTACGTGTTGGATTGGGTCGAGTAAGAGGAGTTTTTAGGACCAACCTCAAAATTCGGGTTGACTAGTTCATGTACCTAATGAAGTTGATATTACTGACTAACCCAACCCAACCCAACCATATTTTTTTTTCTAGATTGGGTCAGGTCATCGGGTTGCCAATTCATTTTTTTTCTTCCTGAGAACTAGGTTGGACTAAGGAACGACTAACAGAGTGGAAGAACGATAGACGAGAGTAACTATTTGGCGGCAGACAGTAGTGAATGACACGAATTGCAATAAATAATGACGAAATGGTAGATAGTGAGAGGTCAAATGGCAGGAGAGGTAATAGTTGTGAGATTGTGAGAGAGACGAGTTCAAACTGACGGAGGAGGGAGATGAGAGACCGAGGGGTAGGTGAGAGAAGGGGAGAAGGAGAAGAAGTAGGGGAAAACCTAACATGTAATTATTATTTTTTTGGAAAGGTAAATGTAACTTTTATGACCTATTCTATTTAGAATCAATAAATGTTGAGCTGACATGTGTTATTTATTGTTATTGTATTTGTTGAATACGTAAATGACATGAGAGAGTTAGTTATTTTGGGAGTGGGGAATATTATTCTCAAGGAGAGCAAATTTGTTTAAACAAAAAGGGAGGCAAGAGAGAGAGTCGAGAAGCTTTTTTTTCTTCACTTTGAAAATCAGGCTYGAGAGATTGCTGGTGAGCATTCTRTGAARGATAYCAATCTTCTYAGAATATTGCTTGTATTTTTTATTCTCATACTTGGTGAATGAAGTGATGATAGGTGCTGTTGTGAAGTAGATGTAGGTTACCAMACTGGTATCTGAACCAYTATAATTTATGGGTTTTCTCTTYTCCTTGTACTATATATTTCTTGTATTTA